ATGGCCGTATACATTTATGAAGTATTTCTTAAAAATCAATTATTTTTCATTTTGACTTTGAGTAGACTAAACTCAAGCATGAACAGAGTTACTATTTTTCAGTACAGTTCTGTGTACCACATCATTTAGCAATAAGCCAGAAAGTGTTAACTATTTCCTTTGTCCTGGTTGATGTCAGCGATAGCAATGGTTGGGATACATAACTGACCTTCCTGCTCCTGGTCTCAGTAATCAATACAATATTAGCCGAGGGTCCATCTTTGTGTGAAATTAGGTAAAGAGTTGAAATCAACACAGACAGCCTTCATTGTTAAATAATTGAATGGCAGTCATTGCCTAGCCTCCAAAGTAAAGTGGGGTAACACACTGCGATTGCCACCAGTGGAAGTGAATTCTAACTGGAGCCAACATTGTCAGGAGAGGAAGGAGAACAGCTTTCAAAGGGATATTGAAAAAGCAAATTATGAATCGATAATAAATGAAACTCAATTCATCAGCACACAGGAGGATTCAATGGTGACTCCCTGACAAGGAGAATTTGCTCACTTGTTGTTTTGATTACAAAATAGATACTCAGTCTACAGGAAAATAATGATTTTTGCTCGTATGTTGTCTTTACAATCAGGATGTCCCAAAATTCTTTACAACCAAATCAGTATTTTTTTAAAAATGTTGTTACTTTTGTAATTATTACACTTCCCATGGGATTCTGACATCCCATAAGGCATAAGCTTCCCCATGTCTCGGAGTCTGAGTGGAGTCATCCTTAGTCAAGTCAAGGTGCACAGCTGTCAATGAGGGATCCCCACACAGTCTGTCAACGACAATGTCAAGGCAAGGGCTTGAACATAGTCAGTGGGCCATGGGGATTCTCATTATTATGGGCTGGGGAGTGCACCTCAGGCAGTTCTGCAGCTCCTGAACAACCAAAGCAAGGATTAGAGGTAAGTCAATCAAGGAGCTGCACAGAGATCAGTCCAAGGTCTGCTCACTGATCAGACACGTTAGTCAGGGGGTGAGCCATGGTCAGTGCTGGGGGTCTGTTCACAGAGAGTCAAAGGGAGTTATCAGGAGACACAGCTGCGAAAGGAGAGTTTGGAAGTCATTTGTAGGGATTGGAGGTAGCAAGCTGGGTTGCAGAGTGGATAACAAACTGCTAAGGGGTGGGGTGGGTGTCAACTTTACATATCAGTATGGGAGACAATAGATCAAATGAGGACAGCCACCGCTCCCCCTCCCTTTTTTGTTCCTTTGTGGGGGGACATTGTACATCACCCGTGGGTGGCACTAGGCTGCAGATGTGGGGCTCAGGGGGTAAACTGTGGAGACGAAGATTTAAATGAAAGAGTCGGGTGGGATTGTGTGGGAGTTCAGAACAGATAGAGCCAATAGGAAGTGCAAGGGAGAAAGGAACATGAAGGTTTGGGGAGGCACCTAGGTTCGCTGAGCCTGGGACTCTGTGAATTCTGACCTGTGCTTTTTTATCTCCCTGTGGGAGCAAGCTTCAGTTATTCCTGATGTGAGACCTTTGAAAGGGAGACTGCATTAATCAGTCACTTCCACAGAACAGGTTTAAGACTTCTGTAATCATAGAACTCTGTGTGTAAACTGCAGGCAGGGGTCAACTATGTTCAAAATAAATCAAGCCCATGAGGGCCCCTCTTGTGGCACAGTGGTAACTACTCACCCTCCCAGCCTGATCATTAGCAACTCCTTTGTCTGTCCAACTGTCTTTCTCTCTCTTTGGGCTCTATCCTATCATTTACTCCCTACCCCACCCACCTCCCTATTTTCTGCATATAAACTGGCGTTTTCCCACAACCATCAGTTCTGAGGAAGGGTCACCAGACCCGAAATGTTAACTCTGTTTTCTCCTTCACAGATGCTGCCAGACCTGCTGAGCTTTTCCAGCAACTTTGTTTTGTTCTTTACAAGAATGATCCTGGGGATGAAGGGCTTGTCATTTGAGGAATGGTTGAGGACTCTGGATCTGAACTCAATGGAGTTTAGATGGATGAGGAGGTATCTCATTGAAACTTAGAATACAAAGAGGCCTGGATAAAGTGGACATGGAGAACACATTTCCACCAGTCGGAGAGACTAGGACCCAAAGGCACAGCTTCAGCATGAAGGGACGACCCTTTAGAGCTGAGATGATGAGGAATTTCTTCAGCGAGAGGGTGGTGAATCTATGGAGCTCATTACCACAGAGGGCTGTGGAGGCCAAGTCATTGAGTGTATTTAAGACAGAGATAGATAGGTTTCTTGATTAGTAAAGGGATCAAAGGGTTACAGGGAGAAGGCAGTAGAATGGGGTTAAGAAACATCAACCATGATCGAAAGGTGGAGCAGATGAACATGTGTGTGTGTGGTTGTGTGTGGGAGTCTGTGTGTGTGTGTGTTTGAGGGAGAGACAGATTATGTGTGTGCGACACACACACTCTCTCTCCCACACACACACACAAGCACTCTCTCTCACACACACACACACACACATATAAATCTATGGGATGAATTTGAGTTCGCAGATTTATAATTTGTAATACATTCTATTTTGTTCAAAAAGCACACAATTTGTAAACAGTCAATGTGGCATTTTATAAATTCCTACTGTGGAAATAAAACCAGTGTGATTCCAAGTTAAAACACAGACAGATTCTAAACAAGGCCTCACACCTAAAATGCATTGTCTGACCTGAGATGTCACCTCTTGTATGCACTGACAAAACCTTTAGTTATCTCAGGGCAGTGACTTGAAAGAAATTCTGGGATTTGCATATTAATCAATCGAAGCCTGCATCTCATTTCCAACTGATTAAAGATTTAATCTTAGGTTTGTTCTATGACCCTTTGATCTTTTACTTATAAATTCAGTGTCTGATGCTACCTCTCTCGCTAACACCTGAAGAAGGAGCAAGACTCCAAAAGCTTGTGATTTTTGACCTTTTCCTTAACAAAACCATGCTGACCATCCTGATTAATTCATGACTCTCCAGGTAATAGTTAATCCTATCTCTCAGTATTGATTTTAGTAATTTGTCCAACTAAGATCAGACTGATTGGCCTATAATCATTTGGCCTGCACTTTCACACATTTTGAATAATGCTTCAACAATCACTGACCTAAACATGTGGATGCTCTGTTTGATTGGCACTACATCCACAAGCATCCACTCCCTCCACCACCGATATTCAGTAACAGCAGTGTATACTATCTCTAAGGTACACTGCAGAAATTCACCAAAGATCCTCAGACAGCACCTTCCAAACCCCCGACCACTTCCATCTAAAAAGGCAGCAGATACATGGGAACACCACCCTCTGTAAGTTCCCCTCCAAGCCACTTACCATCCTGACTTGGAAATATATCGCTGTTCCTTCACTGTCACTGGGTCAGAATTCCGGAATTCCCTCCTTAATGACATTGTGGATCAACCCACAGCAGGAGGACTGCAGCGGTTCAAGAAGGCAGCTCACCACCACCTTCTCAAGGGCAACTAGGGATGGGCAATAAATGCTGCCCCAGCCAGCGAGGGAATTAAAAAAGACCAATATGTTATAGGCATAGCTATCATCTGCTGGATTCAATTGATCTGAAACAAGAAATGTACAAATATTAAGATTGTTCATTAATTTTTTTCCATTGATGGGATGAGGGCATCGCTAGCCGGGCAGCATTTATTGCTCATCCCTAATTGCCCAGAGGGCAGCTAAGAGTCTACTGTGTGTCTGGACTCACATGTAGGCCAGACCAGGTAAAGATGGCAATTTCCTTCCCTAAAGGACATTAGTGAATCCAGAATTGTTTTTCAGTTTACCTTGTTGAGGTTCCAATAAGCATTAGGACAGGGAAACAGAGGCCAGGCAGTATGGGATTGTTAGCTGTCGAGACAAGAGCAACTTTCAGAACAAAAACAGGAAGATCAGAAGTCACACAACACCAGGTTATAGTCCAATAGGTTTATTTGAAAACACAAACTTTCGCAGCAAAAACAGCAAGTGCTGGAGAAACTCAGCAACTCTGGTAGCATCTGTCAAAGTTCAGAAGAAGAGTCACATCAGACTGTGCAAACACTGACCCTGTTTTTCTCTCTTTCCAGAGATATTGCCAGACCCGCAGAGTTTCTCCAGCGATTTGTTTTTATTTCAGATTTCCAGCATCATCAGTATGTTTATTTCTTTTTATTTCACAGCAGATCAGCTAGTTCTGTAAAAAGCATGGCGCATTATTCAGCAATATGTAACTGTGTGTATCAGCGAGGGTGCAGTCATCCGGTCTGACTCCCGCTTAACCTCGGTGTTATATGAGAGAGCCCCTGTTCTCGGATTAGCCTGAGGTTTACACACGGACCGAGCTGGGGTCAGAGCAGCCCACCTTCCGGGCACTGCCACCTCCTGCTGCTCGCTCTGGGAATGACCACAGCGGGGGGGGGGGGGGGGTCACTTGGCCAGAACATCCTCAGATCAACGGGACTCCTGCAGCCTGTGGGAGAGGGACATTCATGGAAGAGGAATGAGGAGGGGATAAATCCAAAGTGAAGGAGGGAGAACCGCGAAGTGAGACAGAAATATAGACAGAGAGAGAAACCCAGAGTGAGAGAGATGGAGAGAGTAATACAAACTGAGAAGGAAAGAGAAAAGTGAGGAATGGAGAGAGGATTACAAACTGCAATGAGAGAGTGTCCATTGCTGTAAAATGTGTTGAGGCTGGGTTTGCTGGGTATCTCTGGGAAAGGAGATGACAGTCAATGAGTTAAGTTTAATCTCAAATCAAAGTTGCACGCTGACCAACATCAAGAGCTGCCTGCTGTCAGTGGACAAAACCAGCAAATTTATATTTAAATCCGGCCTTTCTATTGAAAAAGCCGAGACATCCACAAACACCGGGCAGCGCTGGCTCCGCCCCACTAGATACACTCTTTGAGTTTTGTTCCCATCGCAACTGGTTGCAAAACACAAACCCCAACCATAACAATCCTCTTCAATCCAATCCAGAGGCAGCTGGACTATGCAAAACGGTCGCGTTGTGTTAAAAATATAAAACGAAACAGATATTACCAATTTGTTTCGCCCCGTGGACTTTCATTAACCACTGCCATAACTATAATAACCTGAGTGAGTTAAAACACTTTCTTTACTCGATGTCAGTGGAAATGGGTGTGATTGGGGAGGTGGTGTAGGAGGGCAGCTTCCTGCTGCTGGGGTTCCCATGTGTCTGATATCATTGACCTGGTGGGTACCAGAGGTTGAGAGTTTTGGAAGGTGCTGTCTGAGGATGTTTGGTGAACTTCTGCACTGCATCCTGTACATTATGTATACTGGTGCTACCAAGTGTTGGTGATGGAGGGAGTGGATGCTGGAGGGAGTGGATGTGGTGCCAATCAAACGAGCTGCTTTGCCCTGGATGGTGTCAAGCTTCTTGACTGTTGTTGGGGCGGCACCCATCCAGGCAAATGGGGAGTATTCCATCACACTCCTGACTTGTGCCTTGTAGATGGTGGACAGGCTTTCGGGAGTCAGGAAGTGAGTTATTGGTAGAGGGATTGAGTTTCGGAGCCATGAGGTCATGTTGCAGCTGTACAAAACTCTGGTGCAGCCGCACTTGGAGTATTGCGTACAGTTCTGGTCACCGCATTATAGGAAGGATGTGGAAAGGGTGCAGAGGAGATTTACCAGGATGTTGCCTGGTATGGAGGGAAGGTCTTATGAGGAAAGGCTGAGGGTTTTGAGGCTGTTTTCGTTAGAGAGAAGAAGGTTAAGAGGTGACTTGATAGAGACATACAAGGTGATCAGAGGATTAGATAGGGTGGACAGTGGGAGCCTTTTTCCTCGGATGGTGATGGCTAGCACAAGGGGACATAGCTTTAAATTGAGGGGTGACAGATAAAGGACAGATGTCAGAGGTAGGTTCTTTACTCAGAGAGTAGTAAGGGCGTGGAATGCCCTGCCTGCAAAAATAGTAGACTCGCCCACTTTAAGGGCATTTAAATGGTCATTGGATAAACATATGGATGATAATGGAATAGTTTAAGTTAGATGGGCTTCAGATAGGTTTCACAGGTCGGCGCAACATCGAGGGCCGAAGGGCCTGTACTGCGCTGTAATGTTCTATGTTCTATGTTCTACTCGCCGCAGCATTCCTATCCTCTGACCTGCTGTTTAGCCACCCAGGATGTTGATAATGGAGGATTTAGTGATGGTAATGCCATTGAATGTCAAGGGACACTGGCTGGATTGTCTCTTATTAGAGATGGTCATTGCCTGGCATTTGTGTGGCACAGATGTTATTTGCCTCTTGTGAGCCCAAGCCTGGATATTGTCCAGATCTTGCTGCATTTGAACATGGACTCCTTCAGTATCTGAGGACACAGTAAGGACTGAAGATTCTGGAAGCTAGAGTCAATAAAGGTGGAGCTGGAAAAGCATAGCCAGTCAGACAGCACCCGAGGAGCAGGAAAATCAACGTTTCAGGCCAAAACCATTCGTCAGGACTGGGAAGGGGGAGAGGAGCCCAGTAATAAATTGGAGGGGTGGGGCTGGAGGGAGGGTAGGTGGGATGGAGATAGGTGGATGACGGTAGGGGGTTATTGTGGTTGGTCAGTGGGAAGGGTGGAGCAGATAGGTGAGTTGGAAGATGGACAGGTTAGGGGTGGAGGCGTTTTGAAGCTGGTGAAGTCAACATTCAGGCCATTGGGCTGTAAGCTCCCAGGGTGAAATATCAGGTGGTGTTCCTCCAGTTTACGTTTGGCCTCACTCTGACAGTGGAGGAGGCCAAGGATGGACATGTCACCAGGGGAGTGGGACGGGGAGTTAAAGTGGATGGTAAACGGAAGGTCGGGTTGGTTGGTGTGTGCAGAGAGTAGGTGCTCCATGGACCGGTCCCAGAGTCTGTGTTTATAGAGGAGACTACATCGGGAGAAGCGGATACAGTAGATCAGGTCGGATGAAGTGCAGGTGAATCTCTGCTGGATTTGGAAGGATTGTTTGGTGCCTGGGATGAAGGTGAGAGGGGGAGGTGTAGAGGCAGGTGTAGCACCTCCTGCGGTTGCAGGGAAAGGTACTGGGTGTGGTGGAGAGGTTAGTCGGGAGTGTGGAGCTAACGAGGGATTCGCGGAGTGAACAGTCCCTGCAGAAATCGGACAGGAATGGGCAGGGAAACATCTTTTTGTTGGCAGGCTCTGATTATAGGTGACGGAAATGCTGGAGGATGATGCATTGTATTCGGAGGTTGGTGGGGTAGTATGTGAGGATAAAGGGGACTCTATCCTTACTGTTGTTGGGGAAATGGGGTTTCACGGCAGAAGCGTGGGTGATGGGGGTGATGCGGTTGAAGGCATCTTTAATTACAGAGGAGGGGAAACTATGGTCCCTAAAATAGGAGAATATCTGGGATGTCCTGGAGTAGAATGCCTTATCCTGGGAGCAGATGCGGTAGAGGCAGAGGAATTGTGAGTATGGGATAGCAATTTTTGCAGGTGGGTGAGTGAGAAGAGTATCTGAGGAGGTATTAAACGTCGCTGAACATTGTGCAATCATCAGCAAACGTCCCCACTTCTGACTTTGTGATGGAGGGAAGGTCATTGATAAAGTGGCTGAAGGTGGTTGGGCCTGGGACACAACCCTGAGGAATTCCTGCAGAGATGTCCTGGAGCCGAGATGACTGAGCTCCAATGACCACAACCATCTTCCTATGTGCCAGGTATGACTCTAACCAGCAGAGACCTTTCCCTGTGATTCCCACTGATTCCAGTTTTGCTAGGGCTCCTTGATGCCACATTCGGTCGAAAACAGCCTTGATATCAAGGGCTGTCACTTTCACCTCCCCTTTGGAATTCAGGTCCTTTGTCCATGTTTGAACCAAGGATGTAATGAGGTCAGGAGCTGAGTGGCCTTGGCGATAGAGCCCCCATCATTGAGGATGAGGTTCTCTGCTTAAATAGGAGCTGGTAGGCGAGGAAGATTACAGATTGTTAACTGCAGTATTGAAAGTGTGGTTGTCTTAGTAACGATGTGTAGAAACACTTTTGTAGTTAGACCGTTGAACTAAACTGTAATGTTGGACTGAATGGCCTAATTCTGCTCCTTTATCTTATCGTTTTACATTGTTTCCTTGTTCTTCTTTCCAGTAAAGATTAAGGAGGAACAAGGAGAAATGAAGAAAATGAAGAAGAAAAAGAATGGAAAGAAACCAAATGTTTCCATCATAATTGAAAAGTTTTTGAAAAGTTACAGATGGCACTGTACTCAGACCTCCAGCGCTGTCAGCTCAATGCTGATACAAAGTCTGCAGAAATGTATTGAAAATGAACATATGCTCACAAAGGTAACCCACATGTTCCAACCCCTACCCCAACCCCTGGCAGTGCTGCCATTCTCACCAAATCTGGGTGGAAATCGGTTTTGAAGCATTCACACCAATCATTTTATCTGTTTATCCCCAACACCATCTGGAAGCATTGTTTCTCACCAAACTGCCATTTGTTTCAACTACTGCATTAACTGCAGGGTGTGCAGAAATGATCCCAGTGTTTTGTTGCTGATCATACCTATGATGACAAAGCAAGGAAATTGTGAACACAAAGACAATCAATTGAATCACACAAGATGTTTAATTTTGGCATCTAATGACTAAAACATGACTTGACGCCATGGCAGTGTTTAGCAGGAAGGAAATCAACAGGGAATATTGATCATCAACATCTTCCCGATGTTTCTGAGAATACTTTCAGGGAGTTGTCCCTTACTGTTGCCAATGGAAGCCATTGGTCCGTATGTACCCTTGTATTCTGCTATTTATCTCTTAATCCTTCTGAAACACAGCTTTCTTCCCTTTCATCCAACAATCAAAAAACCCTGTTGAGGCAAGATCAATTCAACATTTCTCCATCAAGGTCAGTGGATAACTGCAAGGGTATAAAATGCTGCAGAGACTAGGTGGATAAGTGAAGGTAGCCATGGTTGAATTGAACAATGGGATAAGCTGCAGAGGCTTTATGCTCTGCTCCTGTATGTTATAAGCATCCTGCAGGTGTGAATTCATGAAAATAATTGCTTGCCAACAGGTTACACTTTGAAAGCGTGGAGATTTGGTGTGTGCAAACTATGCTTGGCCTGCCCGAAATTGTGAAAGCTCAGTATCTCTGGGAACAAAACATACATTTATTCACCAAATCAGAAATAAAATGCAAAACAGATGGTAGAACAGATGCTCAGAACATGTTACACAAAGAACCCTAAGAAATGGGAAAATCTTACATAAAAAGTTCTCTTGATCACATAAAAATAAAAAAATTATAACATTTAATGCACTAGTTTTGAGGCTGAAACAATTATAATATGAATTTCGCTGAAATGAGAGGTACATTGCCAAACCTTTTGGTCTTGCATTGATCAGGACAAATGCAAGAATGTCAAATTTCAAATGATCACAACCAATTAAGTTACTGGAGGAAATTGTCTTGGTAAGTTGATTCTGAATAATTGAGGCATTGCTATGGAAAAGGCAATGGGGTACTATAGACTCTCCAATGTCCCAGGCAATTTAAGAAATGTGCAATATTTTGTTCACGGAGAACAAGCCCTTCTATATTTTTGCATGTTCCCTTCACCAAGCATGAGTGGGCCATATTAGAAGTTCAATAATTTAAGTTCTTGAATTTGTTATTTGTGTAGCTATTAGCACATGCGGAATTATTCTGCAAGTGCTGCCCAATCACAAAATCACATGTCATAAACAAATGAGGTTCTTATTCTTCTAAAGAAAACTCAATTAGCTTCCAACTGATCACAAGAGACTATAAAATCACAGCTTGTACAAGTCCCTTGATTATATCGCTGCAAGCTGTAATCAAGTTGTAGGGAAACGTACCCAGGTAAAGACACTTGAAATACCAGACCTTTGCAAACAGGCAAAGAAAGTACATGGATTCTAACTTTACAGAGAAACAGCAGATGAGAGGAAAAACTTCAAACGGACTCAGCCTAACTGACTTATTTGTTTTATGCTGCCTTCAATTTCTCAGAAAAAAACACATAATTTTGAGCTTTGAACTGTATAAAGGAACTTGACTAAAGATAGCTAGTATGTTAAACTCCAAGAAAGTAGCTTTAAGAACTGTCCTCAAAGGAGGAAAAAAAAGCCAAAAGAACTGCGGATGCTGTAAATCAGGAACAAAAACAAAGTTGCTGGAAAAGCTCAGCAGGTCTGGCAGCATCTGTGGAGGAGAAAACAGAGTTAATGTTTCGGGTCTGGTGACTGGGAAAACATCAGTTTATATGCAGAAAATAGGGAGGTGGGTGGGGTAGGGAGTAAACGATAAGATAGAGCCCAAATAGAGAGAAAGACAGTTAGACAGACAAAGGAGTTGCTAACGATCAGGCTGGGAGGGTGAATAGTTGTTAATGGGGACTGTTAGTGACTAACAACAGGGGGTGTGTAATGGCAGGCTATGTGGTAACAAGGCCTGGTGTGTGGTGTGGGGGGCTGGGACATGGGGGAGTTTAGGCCCTAAAATTATTGAACTCAATATTGAGTCCGGAGGGCTGTAGGGTACCCAAGCGGAAAATGAGGTATTGTTCCTCCAGCTTGCGTTGGGCTTCACTGGAGCACTGTAGCAAGCCGGAGACAGAGATGTTGGCCAGAGAGCAGGGTGGTGCATTGAAGTGGCAGGCAACAGGTAGTTCAGGACTCAATATAAAACTATAGAAATAGGCTGTGCACTGATTGGGGATGGATTGCACTTTGTGTAATTGTGAAAGTCATTGTCAGTAAAAACCGTTGAGCATGTAAAAGGGGTTGCTTAAAAGCTGCTGTCACCAGTTTTGTATCATCTCCAAAATTAGGATCTGCATTTTCTTCAGGCTTCTTTGTGTGTTCCTGTTTCTTTTATCTGAGCAATGTCAAGGCTCCAATATTAAACATCTTCAAGCGATTTGGAGGAGGCTGTCAGTTGTGATCAGTCAAAATGTGGAAAATATTAACACAATAACAATATTTTTCTTCTGAATAAGATTTTTAAAAGATTTAAAGATTTTTGAAATCGAGTCTGATATGGATCACAAAAGTGGATTATCAAGATAATGAACAAAATGGATTATTTGCAAAAAAAAGTGCAAAATCGTGACGGGGTAATTTTTAATTTTTCCTAAGTACATTCAGTTAAAAAAACATTTAAAAAGTGGTCATGGTATCATCTCAATTCAAATCCTCAGAAGGATGTGTAAAGCTGTTATTTGCACAGGAAAACACATAGACTCAGAAACAAATGACTTCCAAGGAATTCAAGAATAGCTTTAAGAAAACGTTTAATTTTTTTAGTTTATTTCTGGGATGTGGGTATTGTTGGCTAAGCCAGCATTTATTGCCGATCCCTGGTTGCCCTTGAGAAGGTGGTGGTGAGCTGCCTTCTTGAACCACTGCAGTCCTCCTGCTGTGGGTTGACCCACAATGCCATTAGGGAGGGAGTTCCAGGATTTTGACCCAGCAACAGTGAAAGAACAGCGGTATATTTTCAAGTCAGGATGGTGAGTGACTTGGAGGGGAATTTGGAGGTGGTGGTCCTCATATATTTGCTGCCCTTGTCCTTCTAGATGGAAGTGGTCGTGGGTTTGGAAGGTGCTGTCTGAGGATCTTTGGTGAATTTCTGCAGTGCATCTTGTAGATGGTACAGAGATAACAAGGTGTAGAGCTGGATGAACACAGCAGGCCAAGCAGCATCAGAGGAGCAGGAAGGCTGATGTTTCAGGCCTAGACCCTTCTTCAGAAAAGTACACACAGTTGCTACTGAGCGTCGGTGGTGGAGGGAGTGGATGTTTGAATTGCAAGAAGATAGAAGTAGATGATATGAGCCAGGAGGCTGTATTTTAAATGACCATGCTCTGAACCTGTTCTGCCACTTTCAGTAATGCCCATATAGATCATTAAGTTTGAATTTTGGGCTCTATATTAATGTAAACAGTATTTGGATTAAGTGTTAGTCAAAGTTATTGTAACAATACTTTCTGGTTGCTTTACAGTTTATACTTGCACGTCCTGAGGCAACTGCAGTTGATTTGCCACCAGTCACTTTGCAGCCATTGCTAATGACAATCCGAGATGAACGTTACATGTATGGGAAAGAATTGTGTGTCTGGCACATTGCTCTGAACAATGAGGATATAGCAAATTTAGTAAGTAATATTGATTGCACCTCAAGACTAAATGGAACACATGGTTTCAAGAAAGGATCTTATTAAGCTGTATTTCAGATTATGTTGCATGGTTAAATGTTAAAAGACCATCAAATCCTATCCTTGGAGAATGACCGATTGATTGATTTTATTGTCACATGGACCGAAGTACAGTGCAAAGCTTTGTTTACGAGCGGTACAGGCAGATCATAGTAAGCAAGGATGTACAGATCAACAAGACTTAGACAGAGGCATACAGGTTACGTTGCACAGGGTGTGCACTAGGCGAGATCAATGTTAGCAAGATCAGCATTATTTGAGGCTACAGCGTCCATTCATCAGTCCTAATGCAGCAGTAATCAATCACACAGAAGTAGAGCTACTTTCACAGTTCCACTGCTATTTCTTCATGGTAGAATATAAATTATTTTTAAGGCAAAGCCATTGAACTTGGGGAGAGGAATAAGAAGGGCACAAATTAAAATGACATGTGTGGGTGTCATGGTGTCATCGTTTTGACTGGGTCTGTACTTACTTGTGAATTTTAACTTTTTATTAAACTTTTAGATTCAATTATCTCCTCATAGAATTAAAAATCCAATTATTCTTCCCTACATTTCCCACCTCTAGGCAGTGGAAATAATTATTACCAGATGATCCAGAATTCCTTCATATTCTGTGTGTTGGGCAGAAATCCCAGCTTCCTTGCTAACATTTTGCAATGAGCTTGCCAATCTGAAGTCCCCACATGTTAAGCTTTTCCTTTATTCATTCATGAAATAGAAGCATCATTCTCAATGCCCACATTTGCTGCCCATAACTGTTATTGAGAAAGCAGTGGTGAGATTTCTTCTTGAATTGCCACAGTCTGTATGGTGTAGGTACACCCACAGTGCTATTGCAGTGAATCTGGTAGTGGAGAGGGATTTCCAAGATTCTGCCCCAACAACAATGAAGGGTTTGGTGATACACTTCCAACATGGAAATAGTGTGTGTCTAGGAGGAAGCTTTGGAGCTGGTAGTGTTCCCATGCGTCTAATGCCCTTTTTTAATTCATTCACAGGATAACGAGATCACTAATCAGGCCAGCATTTATTACCCATCCCTAATTGCTCAGAGGTTAGTTAAGAGTCGACCACATTGCTGTGGGTCTCGAGTCACGTGTAGGCCAGACCAGGTGAGAGTGGAGGTTTCCTTCCCTAAAGGGCATTAGTGAACCAGATGGGTTTTTCCGACAATCAACAAGGATTTGAACCTGGATCACCAAAACGATAGCAGGGTCCCTGGATTAACAGTGTAGTGATAATACCACTAGGCCATTGGCTCTGTATTGTCTTTCTAGGTGCTAGTGGTTGCAGGTTTGAAAGGTGGTCGAAGGAGCCTTAGTGTGTTAGTGCAATGTTTCCTGTAGATGATGGCTACAGGGTGGAGGCAGTGAATATTTAAGGTCAGTTAAACAGGCTGTTTTGTGTTTTGGATTTTGAGCTGAAATATTGTTGGAGCTTTACTCATCCAAGCAAGTGGAGAGAATTTCTGATTTATGCCATGTAGATGATGGGTAGGCTTTGAGGATTCAAGAGATGAATTATTTGTTGCAACCCCAGAACTGATCTTATACTCACAGTATTTATGTAGCTAACCTGGTTCAATCTCTGGTCAATGGTAACCCCTAGGATTATGATAGTGAGGGATCAGTGATAGTAATGTGGTTGAATAGTTAGATTCTTTCTTGCTGGAAAAGATACATGTGTGTCTCAAATGTTATCTTTTCATAATTGGCATGATAATCAAATTTCCATCAAATAAGTGGAGCTGCAAAACAAAAATGAACATAGTACGTTGTCGGACATAGTTAAAATAAAAGACAAGTCACACACGGGATGATTAGTCTGTACAATTACTTGAGGAAACTGGAAGTGAAAATGGGACTACATTCCTTGGGAGGGGAAAATGTAAGAACAAAGACTTTGACAAAAGGAATAACTGTCAAGCTTACCAAGAGAAAGGACAGAAATGGTTGGAAGAGTTGATTTCACATGATTCTTTCTCATTGCAATGGGAGTAGGTATGGGTTTGGTAAACCTGCTGCTCACTGCCTCCAACGCTTTTAAATTCTTCCTCAAATGAAGTGATCAGCACTGTGCACATTTCTCCAGATATGGTCTCACCAGTGCTCTGTATAAAGGAAGCCTCCCTACTTTTATATGCAATATATTGTGTTCTTTCACAACAAATAATAACATTTCTTCCTGTTTACTGGCAGTACCTGCACTGATTCTCTGTGATCTGTGTGGTAGGAACGCCAGATCTCTCTGCATTTCAGAGCTCTGTAACCTCTCACCTTTTAGATAATACGCTGCTTTTTGATTACTCCTGCCAAAGTGGACAATTTCACATTTTCCTACATCATACTCCATTTGCCAGTTCTTATTCACACACTTACCATTATTATTTTGGTGGTTCCTTATGTCCTCTTCACAACTTAATTTCCTACCTATCTTGGTGTCATCAAGAAACATAACTACCTTGCTTTTGCTCCCTTCATACAATTAACCGATGTAAGTTGTGTCTACATGATTGCTTCCATACTTTTATGCATAAGATAAATGCCATCTGCAAAGTCCCCAGGTTCTCCAGTGGACCAGGCAATGGCTATTTTGATGCTAGAGGGATGTCCAATCACAAAATGGTGTCGAAAAGTATATCCTTTTCTGGGTGTCTACTTCTGATTTTCCTTATTGTAGGTGTCAGATTGTATTCACCCTCTTGTACATTTCACGGTAGCTGGATTCACAAGGAATCTGTTCAGTACAGGAACCCATAAATCATTGTGAATGATTCATACTACAAAATGATTTTAGAAGTAAGTCCTTTTCTTTATGTTAAAAAGTAAGTAGATTCTTAATTGCACAGAAGATGAGAAAAAAAGCTGTAATTGGTTTCAAAGAGAACAGGAAATTCTGAGGAAGGGTCACCGGACCCAAAAAGTTAACTCTGATTTTTTCTTCACAGATGCTGCCAGACCTGCTGGGCTTTTCCAGCAACTTCTGTTTTTGTTCCAAAGAGAACAGGACATTGACTGGGAGAGATAGTAGGAACTGCAGATTGACTGGATCAGTTACTCAATCAAAGAGAAGCAAATAGATTAGCAAATAATAAATATATTGTCTAAGAATTTTCCTGTGTGTGTGCGCACGTGTGTGTGTGTCTGGTGCATGTGTGTGTCTGTCTGTGTGCATGGTTGTCTGTGTGTATCACTGTGTCTGCTTGACTGTGAGTGATATGTGTGTGTGTGTGCATGATTGTTTGAGTGTGAGAGTGTGTGTGTATGAATGTTTGTGTGTGTGTATGATTGTGTGTATGATGGTTTGTGTGTGTGTGTGTGT